TAAAAATCAAGAATACTTACTGCACCGAGTGACCGAATATGTGTCGAGTCCTAAAAAATGTTATAACTGATTTTAAACTAATCTTGCATTTAATCTTTTATTTAACTTAGACTAGCATTTTACTGTTTTCCAAAACAATTTTTCTTAAACTCTTCACTTCTGCGAAATCGGAAACGCTTACTAACAAATCTTCGGGAAACTGATCCAAAAATCAATTATGATTGAACATAAATTCTATATGGCAGATGAGTGTTCACCGCTTTAGATATTAAATTTCGAATGTTCCGGGTACAGCCTGGACGCGTTCAGAACAAGAGTTCTAATAATCTTACCCTCGAACCCTTTACGAAAGGAAGAAAAAACCCTCCACGAAGAGGAGAAAAAGCTTAATTAAATGACCTTCTAATTGCTCCTCGTTTCTTCTATGAGATGTCCAAATACGGAATCTGGTATCATCAAGAAAAAATTTCAGAAATTTGTAAAGCAAAAGTTAGGTGTCAAAAAATTGCATCATATCGCATTTCATTTACTCTATCCAAATCATCAAAGCTTATCCATGAGTCTGAAATGGAAAATTTAGAAAATAGCTAAAGTTAGGATAGTGGAGCCCATGAGTCGGAATCCTGACGATTATTCGAGCGATCATAAAGGGATTCCAAAGAAGAACAACACCACTAGAAAGCGGAAGGAATTCTGCACCAAACACTTTTTAGCGCATTTGCTTGTCACTACTCTGGGTGAATTGAGAATAGGCCTAAGAATCGGCACGAACCTTTGGACCGAGCTAATACTTCTAAAAACTACTTGCACTCATGCTGAAAGAGCAACCAACCATCTTGAGTTCACGCTAGGTCCCCCCTCCCCCCCTTGAATAGACTGAAAGCTTACCAAATGATATTTCTGCTGGGACAAACACGCAAGATGCTGAAAAAGCAATTAATCATCTTGAGTTCATGCCAGGTCCCCTCTCTTGAATAGGGGTGCTGAAACAGCTCACTAAATTTCTACTGAGACAAGAACGCAAGTTCAAAATGATAGCAGATCTGGTACAATCAACAATATTGGCAAGTACAGGGCTTTTTTGAGGCTAAGAAAAGCTTTGCGATACTTCCCAAAACATAGCTGCTGAAGTTAAGCTTACTTCATAGGAGAAAAATTAAAGTCAAAGACTGTGTTGGAAATGGGCGAAATGGATGGATCTATGTATAATATAATTATTTATCATCACTGCCACTTCATCCCGCTCGAAACTTTCCATGCATGAACCACTCAGCTAAACTAAGGTAATTTTGGCTAATAATAAGCTTAAACAGGCGTCTTTGTTATTTTGCAAGCGATACGCTCCTGCTTTGTTTTAGCATCAATGAGAAAGATCTATCTCGAAAACGGGAATAATATTTTCTTTAGCATAACTATCTCAGATATGTAGATAGATATAATGCAGAAAATTTCCTTTCTTGAACATACCTCCGGTTTTCCCGGCATCATCTCACTTAGGCAGAGAATAGCAGGAAATATCATGGAAAATAATTCAAGTTCACCTTGTAGCTCAATGCAAACTTTACCAAGGTTCCGCACATAAAGTGTGTGGCAAGAAAAGCTAAGTGAACGAAATTTGCATCAGAATTTCTCAGCTAGAATCTTTCGACGTTCTTTTCTTGATGACCAAGCTGCATCAGAATGCTTTGGCAATCCTTATGCGTTGCTCCAATAAAATGACTTTGGAGCGAGGAGAGAGAGAGTTACGAAATTCAACATTTGTTCTAAAAGCACGGAAACTGTAATGAACTGAGCTCTGGAAAACCAAAATCATACTCAGTAAATTACGGAGCGAGTTCTACCGGACAAAGAAGTGACTTATCTTAGGCGTAAATTCCTTTACTAGAGATTTCAAAGACAACATTCGCAATCTGTGCGAAAGCAAATGCTCACAAAATAGATAAGTTGCTATGCGTTGAGACTAGGAAATCAGTACAGTAATTAGCCATTTGTGCTGATCAATTTGGAACAGTGACTCTATCAAAAATTCAGTGGCCATAGCCTTGTCAGTCTCTTCCTCAGCCAGTTTGATGCTTATAGAATCTCTTCCTTGTGAGACCAATGTCTACTCATGCAATAAATAAACAAGTGGAAGCTTAGGGGAAAAAGGAAGAAAAGATGAGTAAAGTTACAGTGTGCCTAGGCAAGCGGAGTATCATAGCGGAACAATCAAAGTACGAAGTTCACGAGATATTCTGATTGATTTGGGTCGGAAGATAAAGAAAATTTATCTGCGTAAGTGCGTACTCTAGAATGCTTTCTTATGAATTTGCCTCTAAATAAAGTGCTTGTGCTATCTTGAATGGAGAGGCAAAAAAGAAATAAAAATGATTCAAATGCAAAAGGACCGTGTAGACAAAGCAAATTCCAGAACATCCTACTGGACTATCCATGGCAGCCTAACTTTGGACTTTGATATCTCGGGGAGAGGAGTGGGTGGGGGCAAAATTATCCGCGAGCCCGCATATTGACAATATCCAATCTTCAAAACCTTATCCGAGTTTTGAATTTTAGCAGGGAAAATTCTTTTATACAAAGAAGCATAAGTTGAGCCATGCTGATAGGAACCCACCATCTATTTCAACCTTTCTACGCATCGAAAAGAACGATAATATGAAAGTACAACGAACGCATCTTTTCTTATTCTTTCCAGCTTTTCTTTTATCAAGGTTATCTCTTTCATACATACGTGTTCAAAAACCCCCCAAAACTGTGAACCCATCGCTTTTGCCTTCTGTAGCTTCAGACTGCTCAAACATTTTGAAGTTTCATGGGATATCCAATCATATAAATTCAGCAGGTTTCTTGCAGTGTAGAGTTACAAGTCTTTTTCAGTTAGCCTTTCGGGACTTTAAACTAAATTTTCTGAAACCCACAAAATTCAGAAAATTTCTCAGAACAAAAATTCGTCAACTACATTACTCTTAAGATTCGGAGTGCTCGATTATTATCAAATCAATTGATTGCAAAGTAATCAAGTGTTTATTGCTTGAGAATGTCATGGATTTGAATTTGGGACCACTGTCTGGAAAAGTTATCTATTGATGCTTTAATTTTGATGACAGGTCCAGATGAGATGTGAAGTCCTCAATACGTTGTTACAATGTATCAGCAACATGAAGAGCAAAAATATGAGCAGAATTTAGAAAACACAAGTTGTAAAATCAATTCGGGCATTCAATTCTGGATTTATCAGCAAGCCTATTTTTAGTTGAGTTTACGAAGTACTACGATCATGTAGTATCAAATGCTATCACTAATCAACTAGTAGATGGCCTACAATCTTGTGAGAGTTACTTACCAACGTAAATGACGCATCAGTGGTGAAGTACGAAAAGAAGATACGCGTGAAAACCATTAAGCGGTCCTTACTTTTACACAATTTTCAAGCTTAAATTGATTAAATGAATCTGAGTCACTTGGTAGCAATCTATCGACTATAATGAACAGATGACAAAATTTTTTCAATATAGTAAAAACGGAAAACTTTGCAGGTGGAATTTTCCTATATAAAGAAGCTATGTGATTCAATAAAGAACTACATCAAGTAGCCATGTCATTCGTCACTTAACCAATGGCACAACAAAAATTTAGGTTCATTCATGCGTTACGCGCTCTCTCACTACAATTTTTTTGGTAAACTTTGCACTTCTATGTTTAAAGAAGAGAATTACCAAGTTTACATGGATCGATGTTGAATGATAAAATTCTAAAACTACGTCTGAATGGCATTTCAGCTCTAATTAGACAATAAAGAACTGGAACTACAGAAAAGATAATCAGAAACGATGTTGTAAGATAACCTAACGAAGAAGTGCAAGGTACATAGTGCAACTAAATGATTGATCAGATTTGGCGCCAAAGAACAATTGATATCCTTTCTGTTTCCGTATCCATACGAATTCTCAGTCAATATGTGGCCAAAGATCAATAATATGACCAAAAGATCAGAAACTTGATGCGCCCACAGGTTTGTCGGACAACTAAGCAAAATATTGTAAAAAAAGGTATTGGAACAATGGTCAGATTGGCACACTCTGCTATTTTAGGATATTCCATGAGTTTGCAATCTGAAATGTCTTCAAAAGCTTTGCTCTATCTGATAATAATCTGTAAACTCCGCAAAGTAAATGAGCATATAATTTAAAATAAAAAGAGAAATAGATTGATTTATAGTCAGTTGCCTTCTAAAGTCCAGCTTTGAACTAGAGATTTTTTAAGCTAAGTTATTCTAATCATGTTACTGAATTCAGTAAAACTATTGCAAACAATAAAAAATTGGCTAAAAACACATACATTTCCGTAAAATATTGTGAAGCCAGTAAGTCAGAGATTTCCTAGACCAAAGGTTACCGAATTTCTTTGGAAATTCCTGTTCGACGAGAGCATAATTAACTTCCAGAATGTACTAGGATGGAGGGAACTTTGCTCATGGTATAGCCTATAGTCGACTGAGCAATAGAGTTAAGCCTGATCTTATAAAACTTCGCCAGCAAATATTTTTAAGAAATTGGAATACCCACCTTTTTGGCATATCAAGGAAAGCAAGAATCACCTTTCTGGAAATCTTCAATTCTTCTTATAGGTCGTCCCAAAAATTAAAAGTAAACTCTTTTTCAAATAGAATAAGCTGTTTTTACATTCCTAGCAAAGTATCAGTCGTTAGAGCGAAGCAAGCTCTACAAAACGACCCAGGTGAAGTTTGGAGCCAACCGAAAAAAAAATGTTATCGCCTGAGAATGATTTTTGTGAAAATTTCCTACGGACCTCCAACTTGGTTACTATACAGTAGACACATAGTTATACGTTTTTGCATTTTTTTCGCTCATAGAAATCGAGAGAAAAAAAAAGCCCAAATTCAAATTCCGCCCAGCGCAAATCAAACCTGCTTGTTCGTCATAATAAAGTTATCAATTTATTTGGAATTCATGCACAAACATACTTTCAAGAAATAACATGCTAGAAGATCATACCTAGTGATAAACACCTCAGGTGCAAAAATACACAAGTAATGATTACAAGTAGCGTCGGATTGTACAAGTTACAATTTTACAGAACTTTGTATGATTTCATTGATGAGTCATTTTCTATTTCTTCCGGAACGTCCTTAAAACGCCAAACTAACTCAAATTCTCATGAATTGGAAGACTTCCGATTGACGACGTCGAGCTTGTTTACGAGGTATTCTTCGCAGTTCACTGGCACTTATAGAGGCCCTCCTACTATGATCCTCTTCATCGTTCATATTGTTGTCAGCAAGCTGAAATAAAGCAGCATGGAACAAACTACAACTTTTCGAAATGTAAAGCTATTTGAAACAAATAACTAACCCGGAGCTTCTTCAGTCCACTGAAGGGCCTTTCAGCGGTATCAGATGCAGCATTAAATGAACTGAAATCATCATAGAAACCATCAATTCATTTGGAGATAAAGCGGAAACAAGAAACAAGGTACCTTTCTAGATCTCTTTGCAATGAAGAGCGAGAGAAAACATAACGTTGTGGTGTTTGCACAGAATGAATAACAGAAGGGACCTGTAGATGGAAAATGTGAAAATAAAAAAAGCTGACCAATCATAAAAGTCAACTGACCGTTGGTCTGTTCGAAGCAGCAGGTGTAAACTGGTTATGATTTAGTATAGAAAACAGACGTTGCCCTTGATCGCTACTAGCTTTATTTATCATTTCAGAGACTGTAGAATCTAATATAGCGCAATAAAGATCAAAGTGATAAGGCACATACCCTTGGCAGCATCTTTTTTCTGCTCCCGTTCTTTCATCATAGCTAACTGTAGCTTCAAGGTTTCAATATCTTCTTGTGCATCAGCTACCGATTTCTCTGCTTTAGCCACTCGCACCTAAGATAATGAGGATGCTTTGTAGCAGGGAAAGGAAAGCGCAGATCATACCGCAAGATCGGCCTTTTCTTCTATGAGCTTGTCCCTATCAGCTCGATATTTATCACTTTCGTTACGCAGAGCAGAGCAAACCTCGACAAACATAGAATTTCCACGATTCACGATATTTATATTAGTACGAAAAGTTGCAAGCTCTGTTTCTAATTCCTGCATTTGTTCGCGCGTTTCCTGAAGCCAGAAAATACATTAAGAGAAGGTGTCGGTACAGTAATTATGCAAAGAACCTTCAGATGTCTGGCCATATCCCGTGCTTCAGCATTGGCAGCCTCTTCCCGCTCTATGAGGTCTTCTCGCTCGGATTCCAGTTCAAGGATACGCTTTTTAGCTTCTTGTAATTCAAACAAAGCATCGTCTTTCTCTTTTTGCATACGCATCTACAACATCAAAATATCGAGAGGCGAGCAGAACACTCACGAAGAGTTATCAGTAATCTTAGGTGTCTCCATGAACAACGTGATTAATACAACCCTGCTCGTGGCGGTAGAAGAAAATTTCTCGGGGGGGGGGGGAGGACACCGAAATTATTTAATGGCCATGGCGTTAGCTACTAATATGTGGTGCTTAAAAATATTTCGCCGCCCTTTAATCCCAAAAATTTCAGAAAAATAGGGGAATTTCTCTCATAAATCCAATTGAAATTTTTTTCAAAGGTAGAAATATGTCAGGCATAATCTTGTAACCCATATAGGCTTCTTTCAAAATTTCGAGACCATTTTTGAGGCAGAGAAGAACTATAAGAATCTGAGATATGAGAAATATAAAGCGAGATGAATGAGAGTGAGGCAACAGTTGAGAAGCCACTGAACTAGCACAAAATTATCGACATGAGATAGAACCATAGTTCTGCACTACTAGATGTGCAATGTTTAAAGACAAGAGAAAGTACAGAAACTGATATTATTTGAGTTTCAGGTAGAAGAATTGAAGATGCAACTCACCAGCTCTTCCTTATTTGATGGCTCTACGATGTTCTCCTCCGTAGAGGGTGGCGTGGAAGATCTGCGCAATTCATCAATTTCGCTTCGTGCAGAGACAAGTGAAGCGGTCAATGTTTCCACCTCATGCATTAAATTATACGAGTCTCGAGTCTTTTCTTCAAGCTAAACCAAATGAGTGAGGAAAATCAGATAGGTTCAAAATGCGAGCTGGAGTAGAAACATACCGTTACTCTCAGACTGACAATCGTCTGCTCCAGCTGTACACATTTAGCATCGACTGAACTAAACTTTTGGTTTGCCGCAAGCAGCTGAATGTTTTCTTCTTCTAGCTCATTCAATATCTCATCCTTGTTGATAATACTGGCCCGCAAACGTTTTACCTCCTTAAATCTAATGATAAGACCATGAAAGGTGTTTGATTTGCTAACCGCTTTCAGCTGATTATTCTCATCATCCAGTTCTATTAGTTTCTCTTTTACTACATCCGGCAGCTCCATCATTCACTAACGAGTATAGCTAAAATCACATGAGCAAGTCTTCGAAAAATGGAAACAAACATGCAAAACAGTCCGAAAATTATGCAAGTTCATGAAGTCGCAAAGCGAATAAAAAAATGAAAGACTTTTATTTTTGCTTCTTGCAAAACCACTAATCTCTTTATTCCCCTATAATCAGAGAAAAAATCAACGGGAAAGCTATGCAAAGTTCAAAGTGCAGGATAAATGTCGATGAGGTTTGGCGCCAAACAACGACAGATTTCTTTCATTTCCCTTCCGTTCGTCAATAATACGGTCAAAAGATCAAAAATTCAGTACATTTACATGTCAGTCAGGCAGTTGAGCAAAACACTGTTAAAGAAGTTATTAGAACAGTGCGGTTACGTAAGGACACTTTACCACTCCAACGTAAATCACGAAATTGACAAGTTTGAGGTGTCTCTGGAAAATTTGCTTTATCTGATGGTAGTTTGCGAACTGCGCAGACTACAAATATAATACCAAAATTGTTGACTAACTTCATAATCAACGCACTTCCTACAGTCCAGCTTAGAACTAGAGTAAGTTTTTTTTCAGTCAATTTTAATAGGCTTAGTAAAAACTATTGCAACAGCAATCTTTGGCTAAACAACACATACCTTTCAGCATTTGCGAACCCACAATGGCTGAAGTTTTTGGAAATACCTGATCCACGAAACCTACTGCCATAGGTACTAGGATGGAGCGAACTTTGCCCATATATATATATATATATAGCCTACGGTCGACTGAGCAATAAGATGAAGCTTGGATTTGAGAAACTTTTTTTGCGAGTAAATATTGCCAAGATATAGTCCATTTTTTCGGCATTTTAGGAAGCAAAAATTGCCTTTATTGGAAAATCCGATTTTTTTAATTTAGGATGTAGAAAACCCTACTGCTTTTCATACATTACTTGTATAAAAAGCCGCAGGGTTCAGCTGTATAAGAGCTTAATTCTAGCTGTATGGGAAGATAGTTTCGCGATTGCTCCGTTCAACATTTTTCTACAAAACAGAAGGGCCTCAGCGACCACCAAGTTTGAGTCGAAATTTCTTAGCTTAAAGTTCTTAAAAAAGTTGAACTTTGCAAACATTGTAGTACTGTAGCAAAATTTTTTCCTAGTTGATATTTTTTAAAGCAAATCCGATCAATGAATTCAAATCTTTCAGCCTCTTATCCACAATAGCATGGAACTTTGGAAAGAGCAAAGATTAGCAAAATGAAAATAAGTGTCAAAAAACTAAAAGAGATGGGCTTCTAGAAACCAGAAAAAATCTCTGAATTAAGGTTTTCCTTCAAAATCAGTCTTTGAAAAAAGGGATTTGAAAAAGTGCATCAATTATGAAACAGCCTAACATTATGGAGATTAAGAGTTAAAAAGGAGCAATTACAACTCTCTACAATTATGCATTTGAATAACAAAGTTTCTGGCTTGAATTTTATGTTAGTTTATTGAGAGGTTAAGCGTAGATGTGCTGTACACGGTGTACCAAAAGTATGTATACACTGTTAGATAGTTAATATCTCTTTTCTCAAGAAGTCTTTTGCCCACTTTCAGGTACCATTTTGTAAAGCCGACTTCAACTTAGATTTGCTGTATGGAGCGAATCCCGATTCGCTCTTCACTACTGTAAGATAATGTAGGAACTTTTAGCTTACAGCGTCAGTGCAGATTAACCGTGTTTCAGAAAAGTTTGCAAAAAACCTAAAAAAATTATGTACTAGGGTTTTCACGCTTGCTGATTTTGATAGTCAACTTTTTACAATCTTGCAAAGCTTTATAAATGGTGTAGTCACGATTCATGAGGTATTGTAGAAACAGCTATTGCGGTTTACCTCGCATAACTTTGAAGAAAGCACTGAGGTAAAGTGCAAACATCATATTTAGTTTTAGCGGACTGAGTTGATCTAGCATGAAGGTTTTCTAATTGTTCGGTTTGCTTTCTGAGGGGAATAGGGCCCTAATGGCTCGCAACTGTTTTTGAAGTTTTTACTGTAATCCTACAGTAATGAAGAGCGATCGGTGATTCGCTCAATTATGTAAATCAATTGAAGCCAGCTTTACAGAATGTTGCTTGGAGGTAGGTAAAAGACTTTTTACGAAAGGAGATATGAAAGATCAAACAGTGTACATATACTTTTGGGACACCCTGTATAATTTTTCTATCATTAGTTGAAAAAAATATAATGCGTGCATGCCGATTCTGAGAGACTTGTATCAAAAACTTTTTCAAAGTCAACTTCTTTGTCATTCAAAGAATGGTAAGAATAACGCCAAATAGTGAGACATTTTTGCTGATTTTTTCGCACTGTCAAAGCATCGTAAAAAATGTATTTCACGTGGTTGGCGAGGGATCGCTCGGAGATGCAACCCATTTTGGATTTCTGTAACTCCTCGATCAGTTCGGGAGACAGTCAAGAGGCGCGATTTCTCTGGGTGTCACCAACTCAAAACTCAAGTTTAGGGCTACGCAAGTCTTCAAAAAGCACCAGACAAAGTACATTGGTTTACTAGTCATCTAAAGTTACTACCTGCTGAGTTTGAAGGCTTTTGCTGGAAATCCGACCAAAATAAATATAAATTTGTTATTAATTGCATTTTCATGAGTTTTTGACCTTCAAAATTTTCATTTTGAATCGCTTTTGAAATAGTAAGACTGAAAACTCGTGCAACCGTCTAATATATCTCTCCTAAACTCTAAAATACTCCCAGAACCTCATAAAACATCAAATATGTGCTATTTGCTGTCCAGCTGGCAACAAAAATCGCGCCTCTTGACATACACCCATCCAGTAAAGCGAAAACCTTGGACTTTTGATTAATTTTTACACCTTTTTATCAAACAGCGGTAAGAAACAAACGGGTGGACCCAATCCCAAACTTCTTACTTCGACCATAGAAATCAGACCCTTGTTAAAAAATCGTTAGGTTTCATTTTCCAATGATCCAGCATTGACCCAAAATTTTACTGCTCCCAATTTGTACTTCTTACTTCGTTCCAGAAACACCGTGAGTCGCTGTCCTTTATAGGCCATAATACAAAGCTGTCTCTAACTTAGATTACGGGGTGAAGCGAATCACCGATCGCTCTTCCTAATTGTAGCTACGGTAGGAACTTCTAGGACGCAGCGCCAGCGAGGAACAGCCGCCGTGAAGAATTTTTTCAAGGCAATAAACGTGCCAGAGTTTTATGCATGCTAATTTTACTACTTACAATTAGTTTCTTGACAATTTCGAGCTTTCTAAACGGCCTAATCGCATTTTGCCCAAAGCTAAACAGATAGCTATTATGGCGCATTATGCTTAATAAAGGAAGAATTACTTAAAGTGCTAACTCCATTTATAGCTTCAGCGATTACGACTGCCCTCTTGGAAGAGTTTTCTGGTTGCGTGGTTGTTTTTGAGGCAAACAAGCAAATAGCCCTCCATAGCTCAGAACCCCCTGCGAAGTTTGTAAGATAAACCCTAATGAAGAGCGCGAAGTTTTGCTCCATACTGTGAAGCTAACAATAACTTGAACCAAGTTCTACAATACGGTGCTAGAATGGCCGCGGATTTGTACGCCCTGTCTAGTCACGTTCGCTGCTCACCTCAGAAAACAGTTTTCCTTTCGTAATTTGTACATATCAGAGAGCTGGGCAAAAGACTATTCTGTGATTCATCTAGATCTTAGTGTTCCAAGAGGGTTGGACTCTCTATTGAGTGTTTTCTCCGCAGCAAAGCAGAAGACTACGAGAAAGTTTTGCAAAATCTCAACTTCAAAGTTATGTAGACTAAACCGGGAATTCTTAACGTAGGGGAGATTCATTCGCCTAGTAGACCGCTAAATGACTTCTTGCTGGCCTTGACGGCCTCAAGTTGATGATCACACAAAACACACACACACACCACATGTTTTAAAAAAGTTGCGAAATTATTGAGTGACGAGAAGATCATGTAACAAGATTCTTGTATTATTGGGTTTGTTCCATCTATCTGTTAACTGGACTCCTTCGAAGAGCCGGTAGAAAATCGAAAAAAAAAAGAACTCGACCATGGCAAAACCGTAAGTTACAGACTTCTGAGAGCATTTTAAAGACTTCCTTTGTCAAAATGCAGTAGAGTGGAGGCGCATGTTCGAAATAAAAAACGATCCCGAAACGAACAAATGTATTGTGAAGGCTACTTGCAAAAACCATAACAATTTCTCAAGCTTTTAGCTTGGCTACGCATTCATCACTGTCAAAATTGATAAAACTATTCTTCAGTTGCTCAAGGGCATCTCAGCTTACCTACCTGCACATTGAAGGACGGAAAATTAATAGATAGAAGTCATGAAAATTATGAACGAAGTTGTGAAACGATGTTAATGTGGGCAAAGTCAAAAATGCTTCTTTTAATCAATTCTGTTAATTCCCGTTCAATTAATTCTTTTAATTTCAACTGATTATTCTAATTCCCCTAAAAATCAGAAAGAAAACTGTGAGATAACGGAAAAAATTAGGCAATCCAAAGCGCAGAATAAATGATCAATGAGGCTTGGCGCCAAAATACGACAGATTTATTCTCGTATCCTTACGCTCGTCAATAATGTGGTCAAAAGATCAAAAATTTAGTTCATTTACTAGCCAGTCGGACAACTGAGCAAAATATCGCGAAAAAGGAATTAGAACGTGTTTTACAACTTTGCTCTATCCGGTGATAATCTAACATTGAAATTACCCAGAATCAAGACATTTTAATTTTGTACAATTATGTATTTGAGAGCTGTATAAAGTCGCTAAAGTCCTATGTCAACTTTATAAGAAGAAGCGCATGAATGTGCTATCTAGTACTGGCTGAGAAAGATGGAACTTTCAAGTGTTCTAGTGGTATACGGGTTTTCTAAAGTAAGCTTCTCAAATGTCAAAAAACGGCTGCAACAACGGCAACTGATAAGTCATTTTGATTTTTCCAAAAAAATTCGTCAAAGATGCTCTTCTACGGAGATTTGTAAGTATCGTTTGGAGCAACCCAGAGA